GGCCAATCCTTGACAGCGGCGATTTTCTCTGGATCTGTGCGGATACCTTCTTCCGATACTACAAACCCCAAAAAGTTAACTTGCCGTTGAAATAGTGAACATTTCTTCGGGCTCAACTTGAGGTTGGCACTCTGAATCTTCATGAGCACGCGTTCCAGGTTTTGAAGGTGTTCCTCAAACGTACGGCCCACGATGATGATGTCATCCAAGTAGACCAGACAGGCATCGCCAATTAGCCCGGTAAGTACAAGTTCCATCAGCCTTTCAAACGTTGCTGGAGCATTGCACAACCCAAACGGCATTACTTTGAATTGCCACAGACCCTTTCCCGTCGAGAACGCAGTTTTCTCCTTGTCCTTAGGGTCAATTTCAACTTGCCAGTAGCCACTTTTTAGATCCAGCGTGCTAAACCATTTTACTCCTGTAAGCATGTCCAGCGTGTCATCAATTCTTGGCAAGGGATAGCTGTCCTTCTTTGTAACGTCGTTCAGACGGCGGTAATCAACACAGAACCGCATGCTGCCATCCTTCTTTTTCACCAGCACCACTGGTGAACACCATGGACTAGAGGAAGGTTCAATAACACCATCCTTCACCATTCCTTCAATCATGGTTTCCACTTCCTTTTCACGTGCTACCGGCAATCTTCTTGGCCGCTGACGGATAGGCAATTCCTCTTCTGTGTTTATTTTGTGTTGAACTAGGCCAGTCTTTCCTATGTCAGCATCATTTGATGAGAATACATCGGCGTACTTGAGTAACAACTTCTTCGCCTTGACCAATTCGTTCGGGGACAGAACACTGCGACAGTCTTCCAAAAGTGTGGTCACTCTCGTTTCTGAATCCTTGCTGGGGGTCCCACTCGATATATATTGGCACTGACGTAACCAATCCACTTCCTCACAAGTACCAACCAGTGTGCCTTTTTCTATAATCTGTTCCCGGTCGCAAAGGTTCAGCACACGTACTCCTGAGATGTCAGTGGTCCTGACCAAGGTTCGAGCTACTTTCCATGGAAGGTCATTGTTTACCCTTTCCACAAGTACACAACGGTGAGCTTGCCCAGCGTTTCGAGGTAGACTAACCGGAACAATCGTTTCCGATCTCGGCGGAAGAACAATCTTCTTGATGCTGTACACGTTCCCTGGTAACGCACCTTCCATAAAAAGTTCCTCCTGTCCACATTTCAAAACACCTTGCTTAACGTCGATCTCACAACAATTATTCCTCATAAAGTCTAGGCCTAAGATGCAGTCGTCCATTATATCAGCCACGATGACATTATGCAGGTAGATCACGTTGCCTAGCTTCAACTCCATCTCCTTCTCTCCACGGACGGGTATACGCTGACCGGTGGCTGTTACCAAATTAAGGCGTTCTCGGTTGTATGCGGAGTCCCCAAGGAACTGACTTATAAGTTGGGAACTAACAACCGTACGAGAGGCTCCAGTGTCTATGGTCAGCTTACACGGCATTCCGTTGATCTCGCCCTTTATGATTAGGCTGTTCCCATCATGGGTTTGTGAGATCGAGATCCTTGGGGCTCTTTTAACATCAGCCAGCACCCGCCCCGCAGTTCTGGCTTTTACTCGTTTCCCTGCCGCTGCTGGGCGGTGCTGTTGGCCGCACTACCCTCCTGAGATCGTTCAATTTCCCTTTCTAGGGTTCGCTTAGGGCAGCTGGATCGAAGATGGCCCTTTTCCCCACAGCCATAGCACCTTGGGCTGTATCCTTTGTTGCGGTCGCGAACTGTAGCTGCTGCAACCTCCCTGACGCGATGGGAACGATGATCCTGCCGCACGGCTTCCACTTCCAGTGCATGGGCCAAGGCGTCCTTAAGCGTCTCGTGGTGCCCGAGCCTCACAGCAGCTCTGACTTCCAGGTCGCGGATGCCGTCGATGAATGTCTGCACCAAGTTCCCCTTCAATGAGCGCAGGTACAGACCGGTATGCTTTTCGAACCATCTTCTCCACCTCAAGGGCCTACTGCTGCAGGTTCTCGTTGCTGCGCTGCACGCGATCTTTAAGCTGCGCGCGAAAGACGTGTTCCAGATGAGCGTCGCCATATCTCGCTTCCAAGGCCTCAAGAAGCTGCTCATAGGTCACTTTCTTACCGAGAGCTTCCAACACAGTTAAGGCTTGGTCACGCAGGCCTAGGGTGAGTGCAGTCATGGCTTGGCTTTTATTCCAGCCGTTCGCCTCCATGACGGCCTCGAACTGGATTTTGTAGGCCGACCAGGAAGAGGTCCCGTCGAACGGCGGCACTTTGAATCCACGTAGCGAAGGTGCTGCAGCTACTACGGGAGCTGTAGTTCCATCCCCAAGTTTGAGGTCGTTTAGTGATTTCTTCATGTCAGCCACTACGTTGTCAACCCGATTGTTTACTTGGTCGATTCGGGTTTCAGCTTTCTCGATTCGGTTTTCAGCTTTCACGATTTGGGTTTCGGCTTCCGACAGGCGGTTGTCATGCTGAGCAACCCTATCCTTCACCTCCTTTATCTCCTTCCCGAAGGTAGCGTGAAGGTCCTTCATGAGGAGCATCTGCTCTTCCAACCGACGGGCCTGTTCCTCCTGTCCGTCCCGCAGCTGCTCTTCCAATCGGCGTGCCTGTTCCGCCTGCTGGCGAGCCTGTTCCTCCTGCTGGTCTTTCAACAGACGGGCCTGTTCCTCTCGTCCGCGCTGCAGCTGCTCCTGTAGCATGGCCATCAGAGCACCTAAGTCAGGTGCTACAGATGTAGGAGCTACTGACGGGCCCGCAGTCTCCGTGGCTAGCTGTTGGCCCTCCGACGTCTGCGGCGTTGCACCACCAAACCTCCTCTGGTCCGTCTCCTGCTGGCGTTGACTTCGGGTACGGACACCGTCCGTTTCCTCCTTAGGTAAAATCGGCATGATTTAATCCCACTTCTGACACCAATTGTTACGAGCTTGAGGTTCGTGACAATAAAAATTGCCGATAAAATTACCTAAATTAACACTTTAATTTACTTTACACAATTAAAGTTAAAACACTAATAATTTAAACACATTAATTCACTTAATTCCACTCCGAAGCTTCGCTTGTTTCGCCCAAATCAACACTGCCTCGATCGCATCTTGCAGCGCCTATATATTTGAATTAGCAAAGAAATATCCAGAATGTTCAAGTAAACACGCGGAAGGTACCGAGCGTTCGAGTTTCGACTAGGCGCTGTCAGTTGAGCGATTTGTGATGTCATTTTCTCAATGCTGCCCTCGCTCTCGTTCCTGACACTAGATGGCGCTAGTTGACTTATTCATGCAACAGTATTATGTTTAAGACGACGTGTGCTCTGTCGGTTTAAGTTCTAGCTACTATGATAGAAAGATAATATACAAAATTAGAAAAACACGAAGTTAAAAAACTTTATTAACTAGGTTTGTATAAAAGGGGTTATTATAATATTAAGGAATTTATGGATGATAACAACTCCTGGGAAGGGTGATCGCTACCAAGCTATTTCTAATTTGTTTCATGTTGTTAATTGTAACATACATTATTGTAAGCTCTTATTTAAAAAAAAATAGTCCCGCTGGGTTGCTTTTGTTGTTCTTCCCAGGACAGAGGTTTTCTTTTGCGAACTAGTGGTAGTGAAAAAAAGTGACTTTCAATTAGTATTATTTATAATCCATATTGAAAAAAGTTTCTGTTTCTGTATTGTATTGTTAATTTAAAATAATTAAATTTGTTTAAATTAACATTCATATCTATGTACGTCCAACGAAATATTTGGCACCAACTATTATGTCCAGAACGTTATTTTAAAGTTATTATTTAATTTTACGTACCTAAAGGAAATTAATGTAAATAAGTACGTTTTATAAATAGTAACAAAACATAAATTCTATTATCTGTACAAAACTCGTTGATGTCCGTATTTCCGAACGCAAGCAATAATGTCAATGTCATATTATAAAATATTATACTACTTATATGTAGTAAGGAAGCTATTTTTATGTTCAGCAATTATAAAATAACTGAAATGACAATGTTAAAGTAAAAAAAAAAATACAAAGGATATTTTACATAATAGAATATATGGAGTCCTAAGAAAATGTTTTCATTTTAATTGTGAAAAGTAATGTAAATGTTAAAATTCACTCGTGATGACTGTTAGCAATAAGAAATATAATGCTTTAGATAATTACTATGTTTCACTATTTAATCCTATAGAATAGATATTAGATAATAACGACTACTCACCTTCGCTTTAAGGGCATACACGGTGTTCGTTTTATATGATCTATTTACGACGTACAACACAACGGCACCACCAAATACACAAGCACATGATGTCCACATAGTTTTCACATTTTTACAATTTACGTGGTTTCTATTTTGGGTTAAAACTAGGAAATTTTCCAATTTTTTAAATAATTTAATGGAAGTGCGACCTAGCGAAGCCATGTTGACGGAACAGCTGATCGCCGTGTGAGAGAGAGATATGATGGGAAAGAGGAACGGCAAATAGGTCGCGCATGCGCACACCATAGGAATAAATGCTTTTTACCACAAATTTCTACCATAGTGGCTTTAATATTTGTAATTTGTTAAAAAAAAATTACTGCTGCATGTATCTGGAGTCATACATATAATGTCATCAACAGTAGGTTTAGATATTCTAATTAGTTTAGGCCACAAAATTAGAACATATTTGTGGGTTAGTGAACTTGATAAATAAAATAAGCTTTTTAATGGAAATGATTATTTTTTTCATTTTTAGAAATTCAATTAGATATTAATTTTTCTCTTAGAATTAAGGAAAAACCTTACTACAACTGCTAATTTATGATACAAATTATATCATAGAATATTTAAAGTACAAACAATTAGCAATTATATCTATTTATTACATTTGCTGACTATCAACAAGCTATTTAATTTTTAACCTAATTACAATTTTATAAGTTAAAATTTGTAAATTAATGTTTGGTAGTAAAATTTTATTGTAGTAAATATACAAGACTTTAACAGCATATCGCTTATCAATCTATTAAAGATATACTCTCAGTCGAGCTTTGGTTTGCAACATCTTGATCTTTTTCTTCAAGGATCACTTCTTGAGCAGGCACTTGTATTTCTTCATGAGTAACGTGTTGAGAAGTATCCATCTCTTGAACTGTGCTCAGTACAACCCTTTTCACTGATTCCATGTTATCATACACTCCATACTCGGCTTGCCATAATATAGTTGTAATAAGCTGCTGAACATTAACGCTGGTCTGATATGACTTGAATTTCCGAAGCTTGTTGCCAATATATTCACCAAATACAGAAAATTCATCTTTCTTAACAACATTTTCTACTGGAATTCGTCCGGGCTGCTGATGTGACTTTGTAACACTTGGTTTTCGACTGTAGATATACCTTTTTGTCGGCATAGGTGATGAAAGTTCTCTTTTTATTTGCTTGTATTTCATCTTACGTTTAGGCTCATAAGTCTCAACTTGATGCGTCCAGTCATCTTCCAGCCATTCTTCATCAGAACCTCGATTCTCATTAATTTCATGCACCAAGTTAATGGTTGCTTCATTATCCTCATTGTTGCCTTGTTCAATATCAGTTTCTGAATTTTCTAGGACATCAACCTGAAATAATTTCATATGTTAAAATCAACGACAGTTAAGTAACTGAACTATTTGGGCTAAAGACTTTTCCTTAAAATTGTACATTTATACTGATAATGCATGTAAAAACCTATAAAAATTATATATGAATAACTAACTTTCTTATAACATAAATAATGAAAAACTCGAGTAAATCCATAAACGTGGCGTAACGTTTTGATAGCATCATTATCAATATTTGTGATAACAAAAGTATAACCTATACAAAACATTGTAATATACCCTTTGTATTTCAATAATGGGCATTGAGCCGTCGTCAGGAGACTTCCCGCTACGCTGTTTCTTATTAAGATCAACTGATACCGAATAACGTACGTTTTCATTTTTGTAGACTTTTACATATTTTCTTCGTTTTGGAGTAGCCGCTGTTTGATTTGTACTTTCATCATCTTCGAAGTTGCGATAAGCTGATTCGTCCAAATTACCATTCTGCAATAAATCCCATTGAATTGGATGCTTGTTCACCAAGTGTGTTCGAAGATTAGTCGTATTTCCGAAATACTTATATTGCTTATCGCATAATTTGCACAACACCGCCACACATCTCTTATTCTCTTCTAAACGATCAAAAAATCGCCACACTAAAGACGATGTTTTCTTCATTTTTCAATCGATTATTGATCTTTGATCAATTTGCCGCCAAAACTCTGATGAATATTATACTGAAACCGATTATTAAACGTATCGAATCGAAAGGTATTACAAACACTACTCATGTAAAACAAGATGGCGATCGAATGAAGCATCGAGCAAAGTATTAAAACCCTCGCTTCGTTCGAGTCCGATGTGAAATGGCTGCCAACCGAGACGCGATAAAAATCGATGAGTTTATAATCTGTGCTCTCAAACTTTCGTTTACATTTATTTCGGCAGTGGATACGAGTCTTTCAGCCCAAAAACAAATAATTTGTCAATATTTTTGTATTCGTGAACATAACTTGAACAGCAATTTTTTTTTGTAAAACGTAACACAATACGTAGAATTTTTTTTATAGCAAAGTAATCACAATTTTTAAACCTTATTTCCGAAAACATCGTGGTAAAACTGTAAATTTTACTGTTAATAAAATAAAATGTATTTTTCAATTGTGATTTTCTTTCCTGGACCTAACTATACCTGTTTAACTAAAATTTATATAAATAAAGAATAATAACTTTGTGCTATATTTACGAAAATTAAATGTATGTACCTAAATAAAAATAGTATTTTAAAAAATAGCAAGTTAGTTAGCACAAGTTAGTTATATCAGTTACTCAACTCCAAAGAGTCAATCATAGGGCAATGTACACTCTTTTACCAGTCTCAGAAAATATATAATGTATAAATAACAAGGCCTTATCTATCCATAGGTTTAAAAATTTTATTAAGCAAAAATTGTTTCGTGAGGGTTTATTATACTACTAAGGAGTACATAATGATAATAATCCCTGGGAAAAAGATGATCGCTACCATGCTGTATCTAAATTTTTTCATACTAATTGTACCTATAAAATATCATATTGTAAATTATGCTTTTAATAATAGAGTTTCTTGGTGATTCTTCCTAAGACAGAATTTTTTTTCCGAAATTATTTATTATTTAGTATTATTGTAATCTATATTGTTATATATCTATATTATAACTCTATATTATTACTAGACTGGTGCCTAGGGCGAAAGGTCCAAGGGGGCGATGAGCTTGCCTTCGAAAGGACCACTAATGTACAGAATAAATTGGATATAAAATTCTCAATAAATAATATAGTAAGTCCCGTTAGTACTTTACTTGTTGCTCTTTCTTTATTTTTCGTATAAAGCAAATGATTATTGTAAAAATAAGACTATGCATTATTTGCTATATATGTATATGTATCATCTTTCGTTGACTGATTTGACGTGACTGCTTAAGGCTGTCCAAGGGAACTTCTGTCAGCTACCTGTACCATTTCTGTACAGGGAGAACGATATACGGTCCCATGGCGCAAAGGACGAAGTCTTTGAGTATTCAACCAACTGGAGAGACCATGCGGGTTAATTCCTATACAAAAAGTCTGTCAATTTCAAGGGGGCGCAAGAAAAACACACTACTGTATACTTCACTACAAATGCAAAATTGAAACGCGTCACTATACGCGCACACTAGAGCACTTGTGTTTGTGTTCAATGCGTAAGCAACGTAAGGCGAGGACTATGTCGATATTTTTATCGATAAACAAATCATCATAGTCTGTATAATTTCAGCGTAGGTAAAAACGTTAATACAAAATTTTCTATCCTGTGGTCTAAATAAAAGTCATTTACTCTATGTATTTTTATTTTTATTCCACTGTCAATTTACGAAATATAAACCATAAAACACAACACTTTAAACTATAAAAACTTATATTTATAGACTACTTTTCTATATAGAAGTTTGACATTATAGAATCTATACAAAATTCTCTATCCTGTGGTCTAAACAAATCAAATACTCTATGGTTCATAAAAGATAGCTTGATCTCTGCGACAGCTGTCAGTAAAAATCACGTCTATGAAGTCCTGAATTTCTTAGTAGTACAGACAGTACCTGTTAATGTCATACTTTATGGGCATGCACTAATTAGGTCGGCATAAGATATCTTTTGTGAACTATATGGATTTTTATTTTTAATCTATCGTAAAATTGCGCCATTTCGTATAGTCGGCAAATGTCGTAAATTGACAGTAGAATAAAAATAAAATAAATAGAGTAACTGACTTTTGTTTAGACCACAGGATAGAAAATTTCGTATAGATTCTATAATGCCGAACTTCTTCATAGAAAATTAGTCTCTGAATACAAGTATTTATGGGTTAAAGTGCAGTGGGTGGGTGCGGTCGGATCAGACCGCTTGAATTTTGACGGAACATCATCTTGATCGGATCCGACCGTGTACCCAATGAAAGGTTAAATACCGTTACTGCCATTGAAGCCTTTTTATGCTGTTGCTTTTTATTTCGTGGCGCCTTTTAGTTTAGTTTTCCTTTGTGTACAGTCTGTTCGCCTTGAAACGGTCGTTTTTGTGCCGTGCCGCCTCAGCACATGCCACATTTCGGCAAAGGTTCTACTTTAAAGTTCGTACTGTAAATCACCCGAAACGTCGGGAATCAAAAGTCAAAATTTTATGCGATAAAATCCGTAAAAAATTCTTTCATTGAATATGTAGTATTCGCGTAAATATAAGAAGTTATAATTCTAAACTTATTGTAATTCTAATATATTTTCAAGAAGAATAATATTGGTGTCAAGGGTAATTTAATAAAACTATTTAATCTAGTGATATAATTACAGCTAGATATTACCTCCCACAAGTTAAAGGTTGGTACAGCCGTATTTGCTAAGCTTCTTTTATTGATAATTTGGGGTTTGAAATATGAATTATTGAAATGCTCGGAGCAAATTTTTCTGGTCCGTTTAGATATCCAAGATTCATGATTTCTAAAAGCTGCTATCCAAGTCTGCCGCTTAAGAGGATCTTTTGGAAATATCTAAAATCAATCCTTGTGCACAGGCTTGAGAATATAGGTATAAACGGTACTTACTAAGATTATTTAAAAACTATCTTAAGGATCGCAAGCAGAAAGTAAATATAGGTGAATACTTAAACGATGAATCAGATATAACATTCGGAGTTCCACAGGGCAGTGTCTTGGGTCCTACTTTGTTTTTAATCTACATAAATAACCTAACTAACATAGACATTAACGAGAGCAACATAATCTATGCAGATGATACTGCAGTAATATTTACTGGTGACTCCTGGGATTCTGTTCGTAGATCTGATGAAGAATGCCTTGCTAGGATCGCTAAGTGGTTGTACATTAACCTACTTACTTTAAATAGTTTTAAACTCAGCCTAATATTAATTTCCAAATTAAACTTCACACATGTTATGATCCCTATGAATGTCATAGTTTTTTATTTTAATTTTTATAGTTAATTATTATGTAAAGATCATGCAAAGAGTAATGTAAGTGCTATAAAAGAGTAGTCTCCTAACACAAGTTTTTATACTTAAAAGGAGACTTCATCGCCGGTTATAATTTATGTATGGTCATTTACTAAATAAACTATTTTTATTTATTATTATTATTATTAAACAAGTAATAGAAAAATACTACTCTTTGTAATACTTTATTATAAAATCTAAAGAAAAAATAAAAATCTGTTCACCAGACAAACTTGAATGGGTTAATTAACTTATCGGTAGCTAAAGTTGTGGCATACATAACTATATTGCAGTACTTTCGGTTGCAGTGATACCAGTAATTTTTTCGAAAACTGCATACATTTGCTAAGAAGTGGCAAGTTTCGATTCGACTTATTTGGCCTTTATTTTGTATTATATTTTGATAAAGACTAGTTAACGATTATATTAAATTATAAGATATTCAGAATCGTGTTAGGATTGAGCTGAATATTTAAATAGTATGACAAAATCTCAAAATCATCTTAATGTAATGATTATTATTCATCACAAACTTATTTAGTTGATACGAAACAAATTTTCGTTAGTTATTTTCTGTAGTAAATTATATTTATTTTAATATCAGTTATTTTTCACTTCATGAACTATGGTGGGAACACTTGGTATTTGACGAAAATATTCAGAAAACACGAGTTTAAATGATATTAAGTTGAAAAAACAGATGAAAAGTTATGTTGTCCTTTTGTGGTTTTGACGGGTTTGTTTATTTTTTGCATGAAGATACACTGCAATTTGGCATTTTTGTCAGAGCTTTTATTATACGTGGTAAAGCCGTGCTGCAGTTATATTAGTAGTATAGTTGTGTTACGATTGGGTCGGCTTAACCAGGGAAGGACCACGTTCACACAGAATACGAGCGTAAAATAGTAGCTTAATGCTGCTGTGTTTCGTATGGTGAATGTAGAGAACCGGAGACCCTTTTTAATAGAAACGATAGCAGAGCATTCCATCTTAGACCTCACGGGTGATAACGCATCTGCATTTTGATTTCTAATCGAGGATAGATGTAGATGTCTATGGGCTGCAGCAACCACTTACCATCAGGTGGACTGTGTGCTCGTTTGTCACCCTATCCTATAAAAAAATCTCAATTGACTAGCACGATCACACGATGCGGAGCAACTAGTTTTATATAAGGGGTATGAGTTAGAATCTCGTACATTTTACAGAGGAGTATGTCTTGCGATGCCGACACCTTTGGTTTTAATACTCAAAAAAGAAAGTCGATCTTTTAGAATCTCTTTTTGATTCCAACTCGACCCTTGATGACAGACATTAGGATAGATTTAAGATTAATCTAGGATTTAGCCCGCGAGAGAATGAGATAATACACAATAATAGTGTAGTGTTTCCTATTATCTGAATCTTTTTTGAAGGTTTCAATTCATTAAATCTGTTATAACCAAGGGTTGTCAATAATTTTTGATTCCATAAAAAAAAGAAAAATCAAAGTAATAAGAGACCCTCGATAAAATTGATACTCAATCTAATCATAAATTTTATAAGGGTCAAAATATTTGGTATAGAAAACATAATGTGTGGGAACCTGGAAAGGTGGTTGATATTTGTGCCACAATAGCGTAGCGGGGGGGGGGCATATGAAGCCGCAAGGGTGCGAAAGAGGGGAGGCGAGATGAAGCCTAATGCTGCCGACGTGCCAGCGACCACCAGCCGGGTGGCTGCCACGGCGGCGGCACCGAGTTTTCTCGAACGCAAACTAACCAACAACCGACAGCGACTACTCAGTTATTTAATCAATCAAAACCACCATATATATATATACATATATATATATATATAAATATATATATATATATATATAAAAAAAAAAGTACTATCGGGCTCTAGATGAGCCCTTTAGAGAGGCGACTGTATTTAACGATCTCTCTCTCGATCGAACTCGATACCGCCCGCATCGTCCGCCGGTTTCTTTCCCTTTTCACCTAACCCTTGGCCGTTTGGCCGAGGACTTCCATCTGGTTGGGCTTTTATTTATTTATGTATTTTAGTATTTTTTTTTATTGATATTTATGTATATTTATCTTTTCATTTCAATTTATAATTATATATTTGTAGAACCCAACCAGATGAGAAAACTATATAGATACCCCAAGAATAATAATAATAAGCATGGTGGTCGTGGCTTCTTGAGCGCGCTCACCATGCATAATCGCGAAGTGTGCAGCCTCCGTGATTACTTCCTGGCGAGATCGGATGATCCATTCTATAAGAACGTCATTTCTTGTGATAAAGGACTTACCCCTCTATCCTTAGCCAACGAGCAATGGCAAGACCCGGCAGTGCAGAGCGTTTCCGACCGGGAGACCGTATGGAAGGAGAAGGAGCTCCACGGGAGGTTCTACAAGGCTCTACATGAGCCTTTCGTAGACACAGTAGCCTCCCTCCACTGGCTACGCTTTGGTGATCTCTTCGGGGAAACCGAGGGTTTTGTCTGTGCAATACAGGATCAGGTTATTAAGACCAACAACTATCGGAGATACATCCTAAAGGATGGCACCGTCGACATCTGTCGAGCTTGTCGCCATCCCGGTGAGTCACTTAGGCATGTTATCTCCGGTTGTTCGGCGCTTTCTAACTCTGAGTACTTGCACAGGCACAACCTAGTAGCCAGAATTCTACACCAGGAGCTCGCTCTGAAATACGGTCTCGTGGATCGGAAATTGCCGTATTACAAGTACTTGCCGGAAGCCGTGCTCGAAAATGATCGCGCCAGGCTCTATTGGGACCGGGCCATCATCACAGACAGGACTATTCTTGCGAATAAGCCTGATATTGTGCTGATGGACCGGGCACAGTCAAGGATATTTTTGGTCGACATTACCATTCCGTATGACGAGAACCTCGTGAAAGCCGAAACAGACAAGCAAACAAAATATCTGGGCCTGGCTCACGAGGTGACCGACATGTGGGGTGGTCTGCCGATCGAAATTATTCCTGTAGTCGTCTCTGCAAACGGGCTAATCCCAGTCAGCCTCTCGGGTCATCTGAGGCGGCTGGGACTACGTGGCGGACCGCTCCAGGTTCAAATGCAGAAGGCGGTGCTCCTCGATACCGCCCGCATCGTCCGCCGGTTTCTTTCCCTTTCCCCCTAACCCTCGGCCGTTTGGTCTCCCCCTGCCGAGGGCCTCCATCTGGTTGGGCTTTTATTTATTTATGTACTTTTATATTTATTTTATGTTATTGATATTTATGTATATTTGTCTTTTCATTTTCATTTATAATTATATATTTATAGCACCCAACCAGATGAGAAAACTATATAGATACCCCAAAATAATAATAAAAGGCGTAGGGAAGTGACGACCCCATCGTCCGCTGACGTAACAGTTATGTGACAAAACTGCGACGTAGGCGCAGTCAGTCAGCATCCTGCCAAGAGGTGTGAGCGCCGTGCTTAGGCAAAATTGTAGATGCAAAGGTCCGTTTGTGCATATGACCCAACCACGAAACGGTGCCGGGCTTGGGCGTCTCCCGTTATTTGGCGCCCATAAAATGGATGATGGATAAAACACAAAAAGGAACGCGCATAGGGCCGCTGCCTGGGGGTCGCCGGGGCGCGTCTGGAGCTGGCGCTGGACGCGGCAGCATGCGGGCCGCCAGCCGAGCGCGAGGAGCTGCACGATCACCTAGCAGCCCCTCGCATCCATCATCCCCACCAGAAGGCTTGGTGTCGGCTGGGTCTTCTCGGACCCAGCAAGCGGCACCCGCCGCTGGTGGAGCACGTCGCATGCGTTGGACAAAATCCATGAACGAAAACGCATTGCGGGCGTACTATAGGGCGAAAGGGGAAGAAACTGTGGGAATAGCGTATAGGTCTCGGATGCATTGCTTTTTTGCAGAGCTGGAGCCGTCTATCCCCGTCACGGAACAAAACCTGGCAGACCGAGTTCTACGACGTGAGGCTGTTCCCTCGTCGGATGAGAATGCTACGGCTGAGGATGCGGCGCCACAAATGGTAGAGCAACCCGCAAACGTGGATGCCGCCGTGAATACCCCAGTTGTGGTTGGTTCAAACGATGATGGAACAGTCGCCCAGGAACTGGAATTAGAGCATATGAGAAGTACATTGGAAGAGGCGATTACGGAAACGCGCAGTACGCCTCTCGAAAATCGACCGCGACTTCCCCGCATAGCCCTAAGCAAGCGGAATCGGGCTGTCGTGAGGGCTCTGAACCCAATGCTGGTGACCTATTTGGAAGCCAGCCGGGACCTTTGCGAGACGGACTCAGTTCTTTTTGGCGCCGCGCTGGCAGTCTGCCGTATCATAGGCGCCAAGGTTTCCACTGCTGGACGCGCTACTGGCCATAGTAGCGCTATCCCAGCATGGAGAAGAAGAATTGAGGAACGTATCGCAAAGGCTAGAGCTCTCATCGGCAGACTGATATGCTTCAGATCAGGCAACAACAGGCCAAGAATTGTGCGCACCGTCAGGATGGCGTTTGCTGGAACAAATGTCAGTTTGTCCCAGCCGGATATAACACAAAAACTGACGGAGCGCATAGATGATCTGAAGCAGAGAATCGCTGCTTGGGGAAAGCTGATTCGGCGATATACCGAGAGGTCGACACGGTTCAACCAGAATCGTCTCTTCCAGAGTGATCAGAAGAGGCTCTATGAATCATTGGAGCGACCAATGGTAAGTGGAACGGGTCCAGCACCGAATCAGGCCGACACTGTAGCATTCTGGCGCGGCCTGTGGTCAGAGCCCGTAAACCACAGCGAGGGCCCTTGGACGGAAGTTGTGGCGAGTCAGTGTGCGGGTATTACGCCCATGGACCCCGTCATCATAACGCCGGATGACGTAGCTGAGGCGGTCCGTAGGGCCCCGAACTGGAAAAGTCCGGGGCTTGACGGGCTGAATCACTACTGGCTGAAGGGGTTCATGGTGTGTCACTCTGTGCTCGCCCGACAGTTTCAAGAGGCTCTCAACCAGAAGTCGCTCCCAAGCCTCTTCACTACTGGGATCAATCATTTGGTTCCTAAAGACCAGGGTACCACAGACCCGAGCAAATACCGCCCCATCACGTGTCTACCGTCCATATACAAGACACTAACATCCATTTTGAGCGCGAGAATCACTTGTCACCTGGACTCAAATCAGGTGATGTCGCGCGCTCAAAATGGATGTCGGGGCGGTGGTCGTGGAACCAAGGAACCACTCCTCATTGACGCGGTCATTGGCAAAGTGGTGAAACGCAACCGTCGGAACTTCTCCGCCGCCTGGATAGACTACAGAAAGGCATTCGACTCGGTGCCCCATACATGGCTAAAGAGAGTCCTCGAGCTGTACAAGATAGACTGTACAGTTAGAGACTTCCTCGAGCAGTGTATGGGGCAGTGGAGTACGATCCTTTGTCATCTGAGCGAGCGGATGATGGCTGCGGAGAACCACATAAGGATAAGAAGGGGTATCTTCCAGGGCGATTGTCTGAGTCCAATCTGGTTCTGCCTCTCTCTGAACCCTCTCAGTACCTTACTGGAGGGCTCCGGGAGGGGATTTCAGCTACGGAAAGGAGGGACAAAAGTGACCCACCTTTTCTATATTAATGACCTCAAGTTATTCGCCTCCAGTCGCTCCCATCTTATGGAACTGCTAAACATCACTTGTGAATTTAGCAGTTCCATTGGAATGGAGCTGGGGACGGATAAGTGTGCGGTCCTCCATGTTGAAAGGGGAAGGGTTGCTAACTCTGAGGGCATAGACTTGTCTATGCCCGTCAACTTAAGGACCCTTTCCGAGGCTGAAACATACCGATACCTGGGTATGTCACAGAACATCGGTATCGATGAGGCTGGTATGAAACAGTCAGTTTGCGACGTGTTTTATGCACGCTTGACCAAAGTGCTTAACAGCCTTTTGTCCGGTGTGAATAAGACACACGCATATAACGGTTGGGTTATGCCTGTCCTCATGTATACCTTTGGCATACTCAGGTGGACCCAGACTGAACTTAACGCCCTGGATAGAAAAGTCCGCCCTACCATGACGTCCCATAGGATGCATCATCCGAGATCGTCGGTAATGAGGCTGTACTTGTCGCGGAAGCATGGTGGTCGTGGCTTCTTAAGCGCGCTCACCATGCATAATCGCGAAGTGTGCAGCCTCCGTGATTACTTCCTGGCGAGATCGGATGATCCATTCTATAAGGACGTCATTTCTTGTGATAAAGGAAATTGCCGTATTACAAGTACTTGCCGGAAGCCGTGCTCGAAAATGATCGCGCCAGGCTCTATTGGGACCGGGCCGTCATCACAGACAGGACTATTCTTGCGAATAAGCCTGATATTGTGCTGATGGACCGGGCACAGTCAAGGATATTTTTGGTCGACATTACCGTTCCGTATGACGAGAACCTTGTGAAAGCCGAAACAGATAAGCAAACAAAATATCTGGACCTGGCTCACGAGGTGACCGACATGTGGGGTAGTCTGCCGACCGAAATTATTCCTGTAGTCGTCTCTGCGAATGGGTTAATCCCAGTCAGCCTCTCGGGTCATCTGAGGCGGCTGGGACTACGTGGCGGACCGCTTCAGGCTCAAATGCAGAAGGCGGTGCTCCTCGATACCGCCCGCATCGTCCGCCGGTTTCTTTCCCTTTCCCCCTAACCCTCGGCGTTTGGTCTCTCCTGCCGAGGGCCTCCATCTGGTTGGGCTTTTATTTATTTACGTACTTTTATATTTATTTTATGTTATTGATATTTATGTATATTTATCTTTTCATTTTCATTTATAATTATATATTTATAGAACCCAACCAGATGAGAAAACTATATAGATACCCCACAATAATAATAATAATGTCCTCCAGACCGAATTTCGGCCATCGGCGCAGGACAGGGTTATAGTGCTCAAGTGTATGCGCAAGCAGAGGAGCACACGACCGCGGAGAGAGATCAGGTGCAGGACCAACGGCTTTACGTGCTTTCCGAGGCACGGGGGTGAGACACCGCCAACTTCCTGATTCCGGGCAGCTACTGAAAATTTCTTGATAGAAGAACTCAATAATTGATTTTTGGCCCGACCCGGGATTCGAACCCAGGACCTTATGATCAGCAGTTGCACTAATACAACCACTAGACCAACGATGGAGTCTATATATATATATATATATATATATATATATATATATATATATATATATATATATATATAATTACAGACCTCCACAAGTCCATTTCTGACGTAAACCTCCCCCAAGGAATTCCACAAAGCACGCTCCCGAGCCTGCATATATCGGCTCTAGGTGAAGATAAAATTACAACGAAGCTTCTAAAAGCGGGTGAAAAACCAGTAGTTGAAGTCCTTCAGAATCTCCTTCATCCGCACTACTTCGGAGGCGTGGAGCAGAAGCGCAAAGTGTTGTTCTTTAAGAAAGGCGACAACGCTCTCTTGAAGAACTGCGTACCGATTTCCCCTCTCAGCCCCGTCTAAGTGCTGTTTTCGAGAGTCATTACGAATTCATCTCCAACTCCATGACTTCCAGTCTCCGGAAAGCGCTGGTTCCGAGAAGACTTTAGAACCATAGACCACATACATACCCTTCGGCAAATTGTACCGAAGAGTCAATCTGCTACTTTGTCTTGCTTATGTGGAGTATGAGAAAGCTTTTGATTCCGTCGAAATTTGGCCGGTGCTGAAGTCCCTTCAGCGATGCCAACTTGACTATCAGTATATCGAAGTGCTGAAGTATTTGTACAGTAGGACTACGATGGCTATCCGAGTTCAGAACCAGAGTACGAAACCTATCCAACTGCAGAGAGGCGACCCCCCCCCTAGATGGAGTGATGACCTGGTAAGACATGCAGGAACATGCTATGTTCAGCAGTGGACTTGTGAAGGGCTGTAATGATGATGATGATACATACGTAATGATAGGTACCTGATTTTTTAATTTTTTACTGCATACCTGCTTGTTTTATCATTGCCATAGATATAGCAACAAACAGAAATGAGACAGGAGATGGATAACAGTATTTCCCTATAATAACTCAAAATTAAAAAATAAATGCGGTTGCCAACCTGACTGCTAGAAGTGTGGCAGCTATGGCAAAAATTCTCCTTATAAGCTATCTATGCAGTATGCAGCAGTAGTGGACTTTTTATAGCCTGTAATGGTGTTGATGAACTTTTTGATAGAACATTGAAAAATTCTAATTTTCGCCATTGCAGGTGCATTCACGACCTTTTAGAAATCTTGAAGGTCACTACGTCGTATCAGTTTGGGAAAATTGCCGGTGGTAAACTATTCCACAGAGAGGTCGTACGTGGAAGCAAACTCCTAGTGAAACGTACAGTTGTGGACCACCAAGCATCCAGATGGTGTGGATGGTTTTGTCCCGATGTGCGTTTATGAAATTTGGTACCTGAGATTTATCCTAACAATTCCTCAGAGCACTCCCCGTGGTAGAAGCGAAAGAAAATGCTAAGGGATGGAACATCTCTTCGCAGCGCCAGTGAGTATAGCTAATCGAAAAGGACTCAGTTGTCGACGATTCGCGCTACTCTGCGTTGGATGCAGTCAAGTGGAAGGAGCTGGCACTGGGGAGCCCAGCCCAGAGATGGGAACGGTATTCCATGTGAGGCTAAACCTGCGCCTTGTAAAATTGCAGACGGTGTTCCATTGCAGCTTGAAATACTGAACCGCTCTGCTGATCACGCGAAGCTTTTTAGAGGCCAATTTGACTTTCTCTTCCAAGTGACCACAAAACTGCACGTCGCTCAATATGTCGACGCTGAGGATTCCGATACTGGCTGAAGCAACAAGGGTGAGAGTGAGTCAACAAGGTAGAGTGCCTTGAAACTGAGGAAATTAGACAAAGGGGTTCTTTTTAGCGGTATTCGCGCAATCTTGTTTCTTATGAGGTTTAAACTGGACTATATTTAGTCGCTCCTGATTCGAGAATTTATTCAGGAAAGACTCAACTTCAGACACAAGTTTGTTCCAGTACTCGGCGACGTTTACCCGAGAAATATTGGCATAGCCGATGTATAGAGCATCGCCAGTGCTGTCATCTGCATAGCAATGAATGTTACTGGTTTACAACATATCATTTATATGCAGAAGAAACAGCGTTGAAGATTGCGCGCCGTCTTGTGGAACACCAGCTTTAATAGGCTTGTAATCGGAGCATGCAGCGTCTACAAGTACCTTGATGCTTTCACCTGCAAGAAAACTGGTGATCCAATTGCACAATTTCTCGGGAAGCTCATAGGAAGGGAGCTTTGAAAGAAGCACTTTGTGCCAAACCCGATCGAAGGCCTTCGCAATGGTCAAACTAACGGCCAATGTCAAATAATCAGGTAGACCAGAAGATCACCGATCTACCGACCACTAATCAGCTGAGGTGATGTATTGTAACCGTACCGGCCTTTGCGAACCGAGTACTATGTGAACTACAAATCCAGCATGGAGCATCACACCGCGGGATGTTCGGCGGTGTGCTCCCCCCAACATTGAGAGTCGAGTTGGACGTAAAGAAAGAGTCCAGCAGATCGGCTTTCTCCGTTGCAGTATAGGCCAGTGAATCGTCCCCCCTGTGCAGAGATGGAAGAGATGACAGAAGTTACCTTGGACAGTTTTAACGAGAGACCAGAATGCATAGGTTTCAGAAGGAAGGCGAACTAGGTTCTCGCCAATTCTGGCAACGCCTTGGCAATGACTCTTTTGAAGGACCTGGAGTCAGAATTATACTTCCTTTTAAGAGAGCTGGTGTTTACATCCTGGAATGTTGATGCTTGAGCCTAGGCCCGGTAGTACTCATGTTTATAACATGATGCTATTTTACAGGAGCGACTAAACCATGGCTCAGAACTGACTGCAATGTGCACCACAGAAATTCCCCGTTACACATGTTCAGATAACCATAGATGTAATATAGTATAGATTGGCGATGGAGTGATTACAGCAAGACCGAAATACACCAGTGTATGTGTAACTACTACTGCCTTGCTTGCATCTTACATGCATTGCCTGCCTCAACTTCAATTATCGATACCGATTGCAGTATATTCGTACCTTGTGATTTGAAGCAGGTGATGTAAGTAAATATATTTATCCAACTACAGCCAAAAGGATGGTTTCAATTTTAGAAGGCTATGTATGTATGTACGTTCATCTGTTCCTTCAGACCTTATAAACTACTTATCGTTTATTGACAAATTGGATATCTTCAAAAGCATTGTGCCCTTTCGCATGTTTTAAGCTGCATTAGTCACAAAAAAGTCACATGGCGGCTTATTGCGGACATATAATGAAACATATAAAATATTTCAAAAACTATAATAAAGAAAACCTAACCGTGGTATCTTGAATAAAAAAACGCTGGCTGCGATTCTTCGTTGAATTGCTATAATATTAAATAAATAGAATTAAATAATTATTAAAATATTGTGTCTGGGTATCTAATAATGTGCAATTCAGAATATTATTAGTATTATTATTATTTATTTATTAGTTAAAGTATTTTTATAAAATCGAAGTATTCAATGAACTTACAGTCCACTTGACGATGGTAAGTTGCTATAGTAGCACATGGAAATTTGCAGCTAAATTTTAAACAAAGAAGGTCGTTGTCACCTCTGTGGACTGAGATGAAATGCCTTACAGCATGCATTTATGCCGGTACTAGGTGAGAGGGCCTCACAGACAGAAATGGGGTCCTACCACTTAGTTCATACATAAACTACAAAAATTGTTAATATAAGTTTGCTGAAAGAAACGCAGTTCCTAAAGAAATGATATGCTTGTTATGATGTGTATATATAGGTTGTCCCAGAAGTCGACGTCATGTCGGAGTTTCGGGGGCAATAAATCGATCTAGCTAGGATTTATTTTTAGAAAATGTCTTTTTGTCCGTGTTTTTAGGCAATGAAAAACTGCTACAATATCGTTAGAATTAGAAGGTAAATTTTAATATTATATATTACATAGCTATATTGTTCGTAATACCATGGTTCGAGCCCAGACCGACCGACACTTTTTTTAATTTTTTTTTTCAAGTTCCTTTCTTTTTTGAGAAAATCTATTTTTTCGTGCCCTTTTTTTAGTATTTTTTAAAAACACGAAAATTTGAATTAAACTAATGGCACTCATGATTTTTTATTCAAATAACCAGTTCAGTTTTTTTCTATTATGTCGCTACGATCAAAAAATATTATTCGTATTTCATCAGTATGTAATTTGTATCTAAATATAATTTCCAAAACACACGAATTAAAAAAAAAACCGAGCGAAAAATACCGAGCAAAACTCGGTCAACCGGGTACTTTAGTTTAAAATAAGCAGAATTTCTCAGAGTAGTTACTAGCATAGAGTCCTCATATAGGAACTAAATTCTTATAGCTGAAATCATTATACATATGATGTTTAACATAGTATATAATAAGATAGCTATATTATTATCACCTTCTTTCTTTTACAAGGTGGTTGCAGTTTTTCCATTCATTAGCAAAAAAAAAAAACGTTGTCGATAAATTCATTTAGTCTATAACTTAGTAAAGTTAAGATTTTTTATTAATCCGGTTATTTCAACGAAAGTTTATGGAAGCTTCATATGACATCTTACAACAAAACGTAGTTGAATAATGCAGAATTTCGTACTATTATTGTATAATTTAAAATGTTGCGTGAAACACTATGAAATCAACATCAATTTAGCAGATATATTTCTGCGATGGTTTGGGTTTCTGAGTAATAATATATATTATTTGGTAGGAGGTAGTGAATTATTTTTTACTGCCGCTATACAGCAATATCAAGATCCTGCCTTACCTTCATGATTAAAAAAAATCATTCAAGCAGATAAAGCTTTGTTGAACCATTTTATCATTATATTTACCATTAGTTAATATATTGTTTATATTTACGCTGAGCAAGTGGTAAATCTATAAAAATAAAATTCAATTACCGCATGTATGATAAATCATCACTTAAAAAAGGTTGGACAGATTTCAATAAATATAATTGGACCCGGTAAATGGCATTGTTATCGAGATATAGGAATCAGTCATTCAAAGCCAGACCGTCATATAGAAAATTGGGATTACAAATGGGATCCAACTAGCTCAAGTACCGTGTGTCTATCAAGACTTAGTTTTGATATCTCCCAAATTAATAATTTTTAAAGTTTGCGAAAAGAATATTTTAAATGTAATACAATAATAATCATCACTTGATTTAGAAAAGAATTTACTTGATCGTTCGAATGTTAGTAAGTCTAGTCCCATTTTTTTAAATATTTTTAGGCATATAAAGTAATAAAAATAAATATCTAAACAAAACGAGTATATCGATGTCGATTGTTGCTAACATTGCGAACAAAAATCTTAAAGACGCAATGTCTTGTAAAGTAACGTCACACATAATACTACTACAATAGGGATGTAATTTTTTAGTAAATCTGAACATACGAGTGTACTTACTCTCATATTTGGCGTAGTATCTTTATACTCGAGTGTCAATTAAGTCAAGTGGTCACCTTTCGTCTCTTTAGACCAAAGATGACCACTTGACATTTCTATTTCTCTAGGTGTACCTTTCAATAGATTTGTTTATTTTTGCCTAATTCGAAAATTAAATAAGAAAAAACAAGACAAGTACATTGACTCAATTCACGTTGAATCGTATGTTCTCTCTATGCAAACTCTCATGCATCTCTATGTATGTATGTCATTACTATAAGCAGAATTTCAATAGCCAATCTATTCTAACTTTAACTAAACTATATATATTTATAACAAATCTATGCCGATACTATACAATACCCACTATCGTATTCTATTCGTAGTTAAGTTATAATTGATAGGTAATTAAAAAAAAACAAGATATTCCTAGATTTCTTAGAAACAGATTTTTTGTCCTGGCAAGACAGATATGCATGTTTCAAGGGTGGTAGCATAGCTGTATATCACTGCTACTCACAGACTCACAGTTTACATTGATTTGTGCAAAACATAAATCGTTGCTTTTCTCCGTGTCTTTTACAATGCATTGTAGTCTACTTTTACTTGGAGGGGTGCTTGGTGAGCCTATTTACGGGTGTGCTTGAGGCACTATAATGTCTTCCACGTCGCAGGCGTGGCTACAAATTATCTTTATTTTCAGAACTGTCAATATTACAAGATTCATTATATTTGAATCTTAAGTATTCAGGACGAGTTATTTTTCAGAAATTTTGAGATAAGATATTATTTAAATAATAATTTAAAATAACTTTTCTTTTCAAAATGCCGCTCACATCCTGCCGCTTGTGGCCATGTCCTCTCTTACTATGGTCCTTGTTACGTTCCTTACAAGCGAATACTATCTTTCACTGGAATATTTATTTAATAATTTTGTAATCGTAGAAAATTGGGACAGAAGACTTAAAATAAAACATCAAACTGTATTTAAAGAATCATTTTTATGTATTTGTCGGTATAAGAGGCTGTAAAAGTTATTGTCTAAAAGTTTCGATCAATCTTTATTCGGAAAACCTAAGTTAACAGGTGAATTTTTATATTCTAAATAGAAACATTTCATGATTATACATTATCTTTTAAATTTTTTAATTTTAGAAATTGTCTGTATTTTGTACACATGCGTTAGCAACCGCGCAAATATTTAGTTATAAATATTGTATAATGTAAAGGTATCGAAATTAATTAATTAATACTGTTTGACCCCTCTTGACATTACTATAGAATAAGGTCTGGGGGGGTGAGGAGAGCCGCGGATTGGTGGGAACGACTAACGTCAACAACGACGTACTTTAAATAATAATTAATTCATTCCCTGTTAAAACTAACCCACTTAAAATTTGCATATATTTATAAATAGTAATTACAGACTATAAAATACGTATGATATTTTACACGATTACAATGATGTTATTAACGCATTAAATTTAAAAATTTCAACGTTAAATTTGTAACAGGCTCTTATTTTTTTACTACGTTTCCAAACGCAAACCGAATCAATACAATGATGTCGGTTCCCGGTAACGATTTAAGTGAATACTAAATTTCTGTTTATAGGTTAATGTAGAACAAAACAACTATGTTTTCGTAACGCAAACAAAATATTTTATAATTAACCGTTAAGTGGGTTAGTTTTGATTAGCCTGCTCGACGTAATGTGTTCATTCTAATAAAGCTTGTACGCGGCTCGTTTTCTCACCCTGCCCCTAAACACAGAATTATTAATAACAATAAGTTGCGAAATAGGAAAAACATTGGCAATCAACAATATCCCCCGAATCGGTAGATTAATCCAGATAAATAGGTATATTATGGCACTTGTGTATAAATAAAACATAATTATAACTTCTATTTTACACTTCGGCAGTTATTTTTGTAAACTCACCCGAACATTCCACTCAAGAGTAATATTACTTTAAATAAATTATTTTAAACCAATGTCAATTTTATAAAATTTTATGTCGATCCTGTTTTGTGTAATTATTAAAAAAAAGTAAAATACTATTTTGTAAATGTTTACAAATACGCCGCTAAAACTGTTAATGTTAAAAAGGTCTTGTCATCAATGTCATAAAATTTCAGTTTGCAATGTGAATACATTTAGTCTGCTTACATTTCATCTATTTTAAACTTCTCATTATATAATTATGCATTGTAATCACGTTTGTGATAGTTTAAATCTTTCAATTATTCAAATTTCTTACAGTGTCTATTTAATATAAAACTAATGAAAACTGGATATTGTAACAGGAGAACATTTTACAATATCCAAATACTGGTGCTATTCTAGATTTAAAATCGCACGGAAATTTCATTTACATACAAATACAACGAGTTAAAATATCATTTATAAACCAGGAACTCGATTATTTGTTCTATTAAATCGAAAATGACAGAAATCGATTTATGAATGTACGTTGTCATCAAAGTTTTAAGACAAGTAAAGACTTCAATTAAATACATACATTTGAATAAACTGCATTATCAATCCATAAAGTTTCTTACATACAATTAAGAGACTCTTGTATATGACTCAGCGAACAGTGATTTTCTGTGATATTTACAAATTATAGTGCTATATTTATTAACATATTTTACAACAGCTTTAACGAATACATTTCTACATTCGGATTACATTATAATAATAATAAAAGCAGCATTCCACTTTTTACATAAAAAGGGAAATTCATAATTTTTTCAATTTAAATAAGTTGTGAGATGATATTTCATTTGCGTACCTATAAATATTTAAAAACAACCAAGGTCTTTCATGCCAAGTAACACATAAGTATCATTAGTTAGTTCGCTGATGCCCAAGAGCTTTCCGTCATACTGTGTATATCATGAAAATGCGAGGGTTCTATGTAAATAATGTCATCGCGCTGTAATTCCATACAATCACATTTACCTCATCCATACTCTATACAAAATTCTTGTAAAAAGCACATATTGCTACCGAACCGAGTACAATAATATAATACACAAAATTGGCTCACTAAAAGTACAAGCGTATGAAATCCTACGTATCTACATTCGGTTGTAACTAAAGGGGACAAGAGAATAATAATAATAATAATTAAAAAAAAACATCAACTAAAACGTTAACAAAATACGACTTTCTCTATGGAAAATAAATAATTTACAAATTAGATACACGTTTTAAGAGCTATCTGCTAATAGTCACTTCATCGCCGTAAATGTTTATCACTAATTCAACATTTTAGTTGGACCGAGGCAAGCACTCTCGCGTATAATCCATCGACTATACAAGATTTTCATTTGCGAAATGAACGAAGTCACTTGTCTCTGGTTACTACTTATTATACAAATAGCCAGCCGTCCGCCGCACAATGCCTTATCTATTCCGAAACCAACATACCTACATTACTCAGTCATATATTTTCAGTCAATTTCTTATGAAATTACACCCCTCAATCATCCAGCTAAGTACAAAACCTTTCAGTGATTCCTGTTCGTGTCATGCAAAAAATATCCATCTAAAATAAACCTTTGTAACCGGAGTACGGAAATCAGTAATTTCAGTATCGATATTTTTTTTAACTCGTATAACCTAAATAAACCAGTATCGCGTCCATTAGCGAATCAATTGTGGGCTTAATTAAAACACAAGTCACAGCGGTTTAATTGACAGCGGTTTCAGTTACTTATCAGTAGTATTTTATGAAATGGGTCGAATAAAAAATTTGCAATAGATAAATATCATTAAACTGATTATCGATCTTGCGTTAAGTAAATATAAATAACAAGTAAAATGGCACGAACAGGAATCCTACACTTTACCCTAACACAGTTCCACCTTACCAAACGATAATTTTGACATATTTTAAATAAATACACTCGATTAATTTTACCATTACTTTATCAATAGCTTCTACGTTAATAACTTCATGATAAGTAACAGTAAATAAGACGATTGGAATCTTGCCGATAACCTACGTTTTAAAGCGAACTAGGAATATTAATTGAGATAGATAATTTCAGTAACTTTGGTAGAATAATATCATTTTGTTATTGTTAAACGTTGTAACTATGGAGTGTAGAAGTAAGGAGTACAGACTGTGTATTAAAGTGTCCATAGAAAACCGTTAAATAAGGGTGGCGCCACTATAGCTACTGGATAAATTTTAAAGAACGTGCCGAAAAATATTAGTGGGATAGGCAACTTTTTCAAGGTTATATTTGCTAAATAAAATTATTTTAGCAGTTTAGCAGCACACTTCAAACCGTCGACAACTGCTAAGTTCATTTCATACCAGTAGCTACTCCAGCGCTGTTGTGGAGAGTTTTTGACCTGTTATTTACTGCTTACAGATGTTCACTTTTTCAACTATTCTACTATGGGAGTTGGGACTCTTTACTTCTACACTCCATAGTTGTAACTTTCACGGCGGGCGCCATCTTGTTCATTTGAAACGATTCGATATTTGAGTATTAAATAGCACTAATATTAAAAAAAGAAATACTCGATACAACCATGGCCATTGAGAATATGACAAGCACGAGAAATATCACGCTGGTTTCTAATTAATTTATTTTTGGTTGGTAATTCGAATCGAGGACCGCGTTTATTAATTCTTCTCCTAAGAGTTTATTAAATGGCGGCAGATTTTTATGCAGGAAGGCCTATACTCACTTAAGTCTACATGCTCCAATCCAAATCTTTGATACCGTTACGACGATATATAACGTTAAAATTGTGTCAAAATTCGTATTTGCGTCGCCAAATAATTTGAGAGTTACGGAAGACTAGACCAAGACATACCCTTTCGCCGCCATTGCGCTATTAGGCGATCAACCGCAGCTGTTCCGTAGAACTGAGCTTATGAGAAATGATACAGAGATTCTTGCACAGTAAGTGTGGAACGGTGTTAGTGTGCGAGCGCGACGGCGGCACCTACAGCGAGCAGAGGGCTCACGCGCGACCGACCGCCTCCTGCGCGGTCGCCGACCGAAAAAACTCTAAATCAGTAGTCGACATCGTCGACATAGTCGACTCGTCCCAGCTGACTTCCGTCGTCGTGGTCGTTGAGTTGTCGTGTTTTCTCCGCGCCTTGGGGTGCCTCTGTTTTTTTTTCGGATCGTTCGCTTTCTTGTGCTTTCGCTTGTGCCTCTGGTTCTGCTTATGGACTCGTCTCTGGCAGTTCCTGTGGAAGGGCGGCGGCCGTTTGAGTTTACCGCGGTGGCGTCGCGGCGGGCACTGCGTTTGCTTCGGCCCGTCCCATCGCCTGGTCAGCGTTAGTGCATATCCTGATAGATTGCCTAGAGGCCTGCTGACCGGTATCTGCGTCCGCCTGGACTTCCCCCTATTATCTAACGCCAGGAAGGTCTTCTTGCCGCCTCTTATCCGCGAGTATGTGTTATAATTGTTTTCCTCTATATGCTCTTCGAACACGCAGTCGTCCGAGAGATCCTTCTGAAACAAAAAATGCAAGAATTACTATAGTTATTTTATGATATGCTGACATAGTTGAATACTTATAATACATTGGTATCTGACAGATATGATATTAATATGTTATCTATATATATAAAAATCAATTGTTGCCGGTTAGTCTCGCTGAAACTCGAAAACGGCTCGAATGATTTTGATGAATTTTTTGTCTGCGTTTGAGTGGATACCTGTGTGGTTTAGGTTCACACCATTGGACCCGCTAGGTGGCGCTGCTGTTGAGATCCAGAAATCATCCGTGTCAAGCCGGGGCGAATCGGTAGTTGAATGTGAATAATTATTATAAATGTGAATGTCACAATCACGCTTAATGGCTTGAATGGATTTAATTTAAATTTTGGCAGGGAGGTACATTGCACCATGAAATTGGTTAAAATATATTAACGTGTTTATGTTGACATACTCGTATGTATGGCAAAAAGCCCAACTCCTTTATTACAATTTAAATATTTGTTTTAAAGTTTTTATTAACTTGAATTTTAATTGTTTTACTGCATTCATTATTGAATACAAATAGACAGCATAATATGTTGCGTTTATTCGAATTGTATTTGTGATGTCTTTTATACTGGACGATATTTTACAATTGTTAAGCTTACGGGGCTTTCAATGTTGCCTTTCTAAACATGTCTCATTATCAATATCTACAGAGAGTTTCAACATAGCTATTCGTGTTTCTTGGCCACCGGCGCGTTCAATTCAGGAACTAATAGGTAGCATACATCATCCTTTACAAGGCTAGACAATTTCGAAGTGAAACTACCCTTTTAGGCAACGAAGCCGTGAGCATGTCCTTACACTCAGTGGACTTAGCCTGTGAAACAAATTGGCTATTTTGTCCATAAATATGTATGGAGAATCGCCGTCCGGTTCACTAATACCCCTTAAATTGTTCAATGACTAGCATTAGCAATTGCGATACATTAAATTCTATCCACGATAGTTTATTGGGTTCTGTTGTCGGGACGTGGGTGAATGTAATAGTCTAGCTGATTTATGATGTTGGTAATTTGTGATATCGGAAGCACTGGGTTGACCAGAGGATCGGATTATGTAGCAATGTTTGTGAGGTTTGAAGCCGGCCCATGCGTTACTACTTAATTGCTTCGGTTTGATTCATAAAGACAACGTTTAATGGCTTTATTGAATTTACGTCTAGTTATTTTAGGACTACTTTTCACTCAATTTAGATTAAGTAGCCTCAGATTTTACTATAGTTATATTATAAACCGGACGACATTTTTTACCGTCTGAAAAAAAATAGGGTATAATATGTGAATGGAGTAGAAGCCTATGGCACTGATATTTTACAAAAAATAAAAACAAACATTTTGAATTAAGTAAATAAATAAATTAAAATCTGTCGATATTCAAATCATGTCCACCCTAGCCGTGACCCTGCGAAGTGACAATATCAAAGATGCCTACTAAATTTATTGTTTTATTGCCGTAGGGTGGATATGATTTGAATTTCGATGGATTAAAATTAATTTGTTTGCCTAATTCAAAATTTTTGTTTTTATTTTTGTAAAATACCAGTGCCTTAGGCTTCTCCTCCGTTCACATGTTACAACCTATTTTTTTCCAGACGGTAAAAAAGGTCATCCAGTATATCATAAAGAGATATTTGCCATAGTTGCCACGCTTGCAAGGCGGGTTGCCAACCGTAATTTTTGAAGTGGTAAACTTTTGATGTTGAGATTTAAAACAAGTTGAAACAAAAAAGCGACACTAAAAAGGGGCAAATATCTATAGGATTTAGCCTAAAAGAGAGTGAGATAGAATACAGTATACAGTGATTCCTATTATCTCGGTCTCCTTTTCTAAGCGTGTGAATTGCACACTTGTTTTTTTTTTCAGTTGTTATTAGGAAGACCCTGCTACCTATCGCATGTTCCGTTTCCTTCTATCACCATAATACGATAAGTGACTACTCTTATTTATAACTCGTACTTAAATTTAAAAAAAAAAAATTCTTTTTTTATAAAAACATTACCTCCCTACTAACATTTTCTCCTGTATCGCGAGGGCATCTTACATACATAATTTTTTTTATACCATGGTAAGTGGATGCTGCGGCCCATAGACATCCACATTTATCCTCAATCAAAATGCAAATGCGTTGTCACCCCTGAGGACTAAGACGGAATGCCTCGATTCCAGTAAAAAGGGTCTCCGGTTCTCTACACTCACCATATGAAACACAGCAGCTTTACACTGCTATTTTATGCTGGTATTCTGTGAGAGCGTGGTCCTGGCCCGGTCGAGCCGACCCATTCATGCCACAACTATAATATACTGCAGCTGCAGCGTGGCTCTACCACGTAAATTCAAAAGGACAAACATTCAGACCCGGAACAATTATTTGTAGGCCACACAAATCCTTGTTCCGTACGGGACAGATCTACCTATACAAATTATTATCGGATAAAGTGCGATACATAATTTAAAATAGCAAGTCGTACAATTAAAAACCTTATTCTCAGATGCATATTGTGTTATTCGGAGCGCACACAATTACTTTAAGACTGACTTTTTGACTCTGACATTATGAAGAACTAGTTAGGTGTGTGTTGCCGGAAGTTGAAATGACAGTATGACAGGTTGCAATATATGCATTAGGAATCTTTACCACCCACGGCGCTACCTTGCGGATGGTATTAGTGTTGGATAGTGCAATTTCATTATCGACCACCCTAGGCAGCTAAGGGCAACCAGAGACTTCCGACTTATTTAATTACTCGTGTAAAAAGCGTTGGCAGTTACAGTTTTGGCTGAATGCATATTTGGTCTGTGTAATTTGTATTTGTTAAATCATTTTAGTTTTTTTAAAAACTTTAATTAAAAAAAAATTGTCACTCTATCATACCTACACATATTTTTATGTATCGTGAAGGCACATTTTTATCTAAATTTTTTAAATGATTAAAACTACTCTTACGGATTTTATCGCGTTTCATTTGAATTTGAATTATTTTTATCTTTAATTCCCGACGTTTCGGGTGCTTTCCAGCACCCATGGTCACGGGGGACTGAGGTGACTGACGTCCCGATATCATTGTTAAACCCGGAGTACCTTCAGCTTTTTTAATTATTGTTTATGGTCCGATCTATGCAAAATGAACTGACTATGTCTTGAGGTCTTGCAGTGGTACGATGCGTATGGGTTTAGTTTTAATTTTATTGATTATAGGTTCCCAAGCAGGTGGTAGTACCCAGCCTCCTTCTCTATTGAAATTAGGATGTTTTTTAATTTCAATAGCCTCACGTATCACCCTTGGTAGGAATCGGTGTTCTTTCGTGAGGATTTGTGGTCTATCAAATCTGATGTAATGGTTGGGGCCGTCTAGGATATGATCACACACTGCAGACTTCCCGGAACGTTGATGCTTCACATCAGCTATATGTTCTTTTACGCGGGTTCTAATTGATCTTTTTGTTTGTCCAATATAAGAAAATTCGGGAATTTAAATTAAAAATAATTCAAATTCAAATTAAACGCGATAAAATCCGTAAAAGTAGTTTTAATCAATGTATAGTGTTCGCGTAAATATAGGAAATCATTATAAATTTCTAAGTGAATTATTTGTAGGGTATATAAATACTCCAATCTATACAAAAATTCTTTTTGTAGGTCGTATATAAATTATTTGTACAACCTACAAACTTGAAAGTTAAATTAACAGCTTATATACGTCCCACTGCTAGGTACAGGCCTCCTCTCGCTTCTTAGAGGGTTTTAGGGCAAGGAAATGTCCGCCGCGCTGCCCTAATGCATGTTGAACTTTACATGTTTTTGAATTTTTTTGCTTATTTCTAAGACATGCAGGTTTTCTTAACCGCCAAACACGTGATAACAAACAAACATTGCGTACAAATAACTGTTCCGTATCGTCATTGAAGCCAGAGCCCGTAACTCTATAACTACTAACAGTTTCTAAGACACCATTTAAAACAGTTTTTTTAATTAGGCTAAAGTTACAAACTAATTTAAAGTCCACCTGATGTGTGTGCTACTACAGTCTACTGCATTTGCGTTGCTGCATACACCTGCAGCAAACTTCAAACAAAGAAAGCATCAGATGCGTTGACATCTTAAAGGACTAAGATTGAATGCCTCACATCATGTAATTATACTGACTCTACATAAAACTTCAGACTGGAACACAGCTGTACCCAGACGGACATCGAGGTAGAAAAGAAGTTGTAGCACGTAGTTAAACCGTGTGATAGTTTTTTTAATAAGATAGGGTGATAAACGAGCACACAGTCCACTTGATGGTAAGTTGTTGCTGTGGCCCATAGACATCCACATCTATCCTCGATTACGAATCAAAATGCAGATGCCCTCACAGAATGCAATATAAAATAATTATTTATTTTGTTGATAATAACCCCTGGGAATGAGGGGGTCGCTTCCAAGCTGTTTCTAAAATAAATTTTGTAAACATTCACATTGTAAAATTTTTTTATTGTCCCGCTGCTTTTTTATATTCTTCCCAGGACAGAAGTTTTTTTCAAACCAGTGGTGAAGTAAAAAATGACTTTCAATAAAAATTACAAGTAATCTATATTGAATTAAAAGATATTCTATTCTAAAAATAGCAGCTTAGTGCTGTTGTGTTTTATACGGTGAGTGTGGAGAACCGGAGCCCTTTTATACTGTAAATGAGGCATTCCATCTTAGTCTTCAGGGAAGACAACACATTAATTTGCATTTTTGATTCTTAATCGAGGGTAAGTTTACGTATCTACAGGCCACATAATCCACGTAGCATCAGATGGATTGTGTGCTTGCGAGTCAGCCCTATACTATAAAAGTAAAAGAAATTATTATACTTCGTAAGTTAACATTTCTGTGTTCTATTTCATTCGATTTCCGACAGATCGTACGTATGAAGCGGGCTTTTACAAAAGACAGTGCAATACTTTATTGAATACCACGGCACGCGTAGCCGCGAGCT